GGTATACAAACAGTGTTCATAGACGGTACAGGTATACAAACAGTGTTCATAGACGGTACAGGTATACAAACAGTGTTCATAGACGGTGCAGGTATACAAACAGTGTTCATAGACGGTGCAGGTATACAAATAATGACCATAGACGGTACAGGTATACAAACAGTGTTCATAGACGGTGTAGGTATACAAACAGTGTTCATAGACGGTACAGGTATACAAACAGTGTTCATAGACGGTACAGGTGATATGCAACGGTGTTCGCCAGGCGGTACGGGTATACAAACTTTGATGTTCATAGACGGTGCAGGTATGCAAATAATGACCATAGACGGTACAGGTAGCAAACAGTGTTCGCCAGGCGGTTACAGGTATACAAACGGTGTTCATAGACGGTGCGGGTACATACAAACAGTGTTCGCCAGACGGTACAGGTAATACAAACAGTCGTTCATGAACCCATTTTTTACAGGTGGCGACAGTGTTCATAGACTGTGCAGGTATACAAACAGTGTTCATAGGCGGTACAGGTATACAAACAGTGTTCTATAGACGGTGCAGGTATACAAACAGTGTTCATAGACGGTACAGGTATACAAACAGTGTTCATAGACGGTGCAGGTAGCCTGAAATAATGACCATAGACGGTACGGGTATACCGACAGTGTTCATAGGCGGTACGGGTATGCAAACAGTGTTCATAGACGGTACGGGTATACAAACCAGTGTTCATAGACGGTGCAGGTATGCAAACAGTGTTCATAGACAGTACGGGTATACAAACCAGTGTTCATAGACGGTACGGGTATACAAACAGTCGTTCTCAGACGGTACCAGGTATACAAACAGAGTAATTCATAGACGGTACAGGTAGTATACAAACAGTCGTTCATAAGGCTGTTGCGGAGTGTATACAAACAGTGTTCATAGACGGTGCAGGTATACTGGCGCAATGTTCATGAACGGTGCAGGTATACAAAGAGTGTTCATAGACGGTACAGGTATGCAAACGAATATTATAGACTGTGCAATTGTATACAAACAGTGTTCATAGACGGTACCGGGTAACTCTAAACAGTGACCATAGACGAACACAGGTATACAAACAGTTCATAGACTGTACAGGTATACAAACAGTGTTCATAGACGGTACAGGTATACAAACAGTGTTCATAGACGATGCAGGTATACAAACAGTGTTCATAGACTGTGCAGGTATACAAACAGTGTTCATAGACGGTACAGGTATACAAACAGTGTTCATAGACGATGCAGGTATACAAACAGTGTTCATAGACTGTGCAGGTATACAAACAGTGTTCATAGACGGTACAGGTATACAAACAGTGTTCATAGACTGTGCAGGTATACAAACAGTGTTCATAGACTGTGCAGGTATACAAACAGTGTTCATAGACGGTACAGGTATACAAACAGTGTTCATAGACGGTACAGGTATACAAACAGTGTTCATAGACGGTACAGGTATACAAACAGTGTTCATAGACTGTGCAGGTATACAAACAGTGTTCATAGACGGTACAGGTATACAAACAGTGTTCATAGACTGTACCCAATTATGCAGACTATAGACGGTACAGGTATACAAACGGTTTCATAGACTGTACCGGGTATACAAACAGTGTTCATAGACTGTGCGGGTATACAAACAGTGTTCGCCAGACTGTACAGATTATACAAACAGTGTTCATGGGCGGTACAGGTATACAAACAGTGTTCGCAGACTGTACAGGTATACAAACAGTGTTCATAGGCGTGCAGGTATACAAACAGTGTTCATAGACTGTACAGCAGGTATACAAACAGTGTTCATAGACGGTGCAGGTATACAAACAGTGTTCATAGACGGTACAGGTATACAAACAGTGTTCATAGACGGTACAGGTATACAAACAGTGTTCATAGACGGTGTAGGTATACAAACAGTGTTCATAGGCGGTACAGGTATACAAACAGTGTTCATAGACGGTACAGGTATACAAAGAGTGATCAACAGGAAGGGATACAGTAAAGGGAAGCGTTAATGATCGGCGTGTCTCCAGGGTGGTGATCTACATACACTTACAGGCAACAGCTATACGTTTACCCCTTGGTATTTCCGGCATGAAGTTCACTGCCACTTGTAACTCATCTACCCGAGTGTCGTCATGAGGTGGTGTGCGAGGTGTCCACACTAGCTCTACTGTATGTCTCTCCTGGATCCGAATTCTTAATAAAAAAAAATGGTGAAGTCTAATTTATTTTCACTTTAACGTATGTAGTAAACTCTAGTCTTGGCCCAGTATCGACGCCATTGTTAGACTCCTCCCTTGTGTGTTGTTTGTTTGATTGTTTGTTTTCTCTTACCTTTAAATCAGGTAAATAAATTCTCATTATTTCATTTTAGGAGAATATTCAAGTTATAAGAATTTTTAATCTTGGTTATATACTGACTGACTGAGTGACTGACTGAGTGACTGACTGACTGACTGGCTGGCCGGTTGAAGGAAACAGTTCAGTAGTTGATTGCTGAAGGCCAGAGCTATATAATAAGACGTTTGCTTGGCTGGCATTTGTGTACAGTTTATTGTCTTGTTGGTGTGAAATTTTACGTAATGTGTTGAAATTTGGTGTAACTTTAAGCTTAATCCTTCGTTGCTGAGATAACTAGAAACAATAACAAGGGATAATGAGACATCAACAAGGGACCCCGATAGTACACTTCAACAATGGTTCCTGGGATAATGACTCGACACGGGATAATGAGACATCAATAATGGTTCCTGGGATAATGAGACATCAGTAATGGTTCCTGGAATAATGAGACATCAGAAATGGTTCCTGGGATACTGGCACAACACGGAATGAGATAATCAACAATAGTTCCCGGGATAATGGCGCAACATGGTATGAGACATCAACAATGGTTCCTGGGATAATGGCGCAACACATGGGTTTAGTGACGTCAGTGGAAGCTTATGCTCTGCGTGGACCACCGTCCGGGGTGAAGCTTGTTACACCATTATGTGGTTTACCTCCTGCAGTAACTAACACCCATCCTCCCTGTCTGCTTGCCTGCCTCCCTCCCTGCTTCTCTGCCTCCTTCCTCCCTGCTTCCTCGTCTCCTCCCTCCCAGCCTGCTTGCTTGCTTACCTGCCTCTTCCCTGCTTCCTGCCTTCCATACACCCCACTCTTGCCTGCTACCCTCCCTGTCTGCCACCCTCCCCGCCACCCTGCCACACTCCCCGCCACCACATCCCCACCCCCTTTTCTACCCCCTGCCTACCTCCCCCTTGCCTACCTCCCCCCCTTGCCTACCTCCCCCCCTTGCCTACCTCCCCCTTTCCTACCTCCCCCACCCCTACCTCCCCTTGCCTACCTCCCCTTGCCTACCTCCCCCCCCTTGCCTACCTCCCCTAGTTGCCTACCTCCCCCACTTGCCTACCCCTCCTCCCCCTGCCTACCCCTCTCCTCCCCACTGCCTACCCCCCACAGTTTACAGTTAATAATTTTTACCTTCCATCCGGTCCTTCGTTATTTGCAGTCATGATAATGTTGTCGATGATTTGTCGTTGTTCATGAGGGTGATAATGGCCACACACACACACACACACACACACACTCTCTCTCTCTCTCTCCTTTCTCAGATTCACACTCACTCCTTTCACGTGTTCGCACTTAATTCTTTCATTGGTTTACACTCGCTTTTATGTATGTATGTATGTGTCTGTATGTGTATTACGTAAACCCTCGTTATACCTGTCCCTGTTGAACCCGAGAGTGGATGAGTAAGTGGCCTGGACCTGTGTGTGATTTGCCCCCGTTATATTACCACTAGCAGGTTTTCTATTTTCCCACCTGCTGACCATCTGTGGCTCATTGTTCTCACGAATTAAACGTAATTTTACATCTAAGTATCTAGGTTGTCTGACTTACAAATATAAGACAAGAAAATATATATATTGGGTGGTATTTATTTTATTTATTTATTTATTTATTTATTTTATGTCGTGTTAACTGGGAATTATTATTTATGAACATCCGAGGTTTGATAATTAGGTTTATTTTTGTTTATCTCAATTATTCGTGTTTATTTTTTTTACCTCAGTTATACGTGTTGATAATTAGGTTTATTTTGGTTGACCTCAGTTATACGTGTTGATAATTAGGTTTATTTTGGTTTACCTCAGTTATACGTGTTGATAATTAGGTTTATTTTTGTTTATCTCAATTATACGTGTTGATAATTAGGTTTATTTTGGTTTACCTCAGTTATACGTGTTGATAATTAGGTTTATTTTGGTTTACCTCAGTTATACGTGTTGATAATTAGGTTTATTTTGGTTTACCTCAGTTATACGTGTTGATAATTAGGTTTATTTTTGTTAACCTCAATTCTACGTGTTGATAATTAGGTTTATTTTGGTTTACCTCAGTTATACGTGTTGATAATGAGGTTTATTTTGGTTGACCTCAGTTATACGTGTTGATAATTAGGTTTATTTTGGTTGACCTCAGTTATACGTGTTGATAATTAGGTTTATTTTGGTTTACCTCAGCTATACGTGTTGATAATTAGGTTTATTTTGGTTTACCTCAGTTATACGTGTTGATAATTAGGTTTATTTTGGTTGACCTCAGTTATACGTGTTGCTTAAATGTCCTCTTCCCTGCTTGAGACAGTTTATATATTGTAGTTGACCTTTTGTTTACACGGACACACTGTACAGGACGTGTGTTGTTCAAGAGAGAGGAAATACTGTTTTTGTTTTATTGCGAGGCGGAAATTGAAAGACTTACTACGGTACGAAATATCACTGAAATAATGATAATGGAGTAATGGGGATAATGAAAAGATATAATCATTTAATTTATTAGTAAGTGATAATAACAGTAATAATGGGTATATTAGGGACCAGTCAACAGATTCTTGCTAATGGCGGGAATGTTTCTACCTGTTGATGCTGTTGTGTTTGTTGTTGTTGTTGTATGTTTGTTGTTGTTTAGATCTGTTTTGCATTGCTTCCACGCTTATACTCGTCACTACTTCCACGCTTATACTTGTTACTACTTCCACGCTTATACTCGTCACTACTTCCACGCTTATACTTGTTACTACTTCCACGCTTATACTTGTTACTACTTCCACGCTTATACTTGTTACTACTTCCACGCTTATACTTGTTACTACTTCCACGCTTATACTTGTTACTACTTCCACGTTTATACTCGTCACTACTTCCACGCTTATACTCGTCACTACTTCCACGCTTATACTCGTCACTACTTCCACGCTTATACTCGTCACTACTTCCACGCTTATACTCGTCACTACTTCCACGCTTATACTCGTCACTACTTCCACGCTTATACTTGTTACTACTTCCCTGCTTAATTGTCACTACTTCAAAGCTGTTAAAGATTACATAAAAAATGCTTACTAAACACCTGTTTACGTACGAGTTTGTCTTTGATCCATGACATTCTTGAAGTTCCTGAATCACGGCTCCTTGGCACCAATCACCGGGAGCTGTTGTAAATCATCGCGGGTTGATTCAAGGTTAAGGGAACTACAGTATGTCAGTTTTTTCCGGGGAGAGGACGGTGGGTTGAAGGTCACATAAATGTCTTTTATTAAAAAAAAATTTATTTATTTATTTTTAGAAATGACGATTCATTTTTTTTTCCAAGAATTCGTAGCCAAGTGTTGTTCATATCAGGACAACAACAATGGTGATGATGATGATAATAACATTACTAATAATAATAAATATACTAATACAGGTACTAATACTACCACTGCTACTAATAGTAATTATAAAAATATTAATAATAATAATTACTTAATAGTGTATGGAAATAAAGTGTTCAAACTGGTACTTTCATAATTATACAATATTTAGTTTCTTCTGCTGATATTGACGGCATTTCCTGCTGAGAGATACACTTAGGTCATATAGTAATGTTTAAATAATTTCCCCAAGTCTAATATCTTCCTCCTTTTAATCCAATCTTTCTATTTACAGGTGAGTTGCTCAGTGCCCCGTGTCATCCCCAGGTGATGTACAGTACAGTAGGTCCTAGAATATGTTTTTTGCCCTGTACTTTTGGGAACTAAATCTACAGTATCGTATATAGCCTCTTTGAAAATGTAAATTGTAAATAAGGTAATTGAGGTGTACTGTGTTAAGGCTCACTGAGTAGAGCATCCTTCCATATATATATATATATATATATATATATTATATATATATATATATATATATATATATATATATATATATATATATATATATATATATATATATATATATATATACACACTGATAACCACAAGGAAAGAAGAAAACACGAAGTTTCCAAACGCTTTCGTGTAATTCACATCTTCAGGGGTGAGTACAGTCTGTGCTCACCCCTGAAGATGTGAATTACACGAAAGCGCTTGGGAACTTCGTGTTTTCTTCCTTCCTTGTGGTTATCAGCATATACCTAGATCACGCGCACCTACAGTGATTTATTTGCACACAGGTATATTAAAAATTTATTGTTCAGGTTAACGCAGAGGCATTGAGCTTGGGTAGAAGACATCAGATGTTGCGTGTCTGACTGTTTATCAGTGTGTCAACAAGGTACAAGTGTGGTGTGTGATTTTAGAGGCGAATGTTTTGATCTTCAAGAAGAGCGATGGACGTGTTGTGTTGTCGTCCGTGTCTGGCCGCTTAATAGGATTACAGTGGTAATTTCTGTGCCGACTGACGATGTGTATCAGTGTTCGTGTGTTATGTTTTCACAAGTTAATGTCCTGTACACACGTTGTCTTGAGCCTGGCGTTGTGTTTTCATTGTGGACCATTCTCTCTCCGACCGTCCCTGTGTCTAGTGTTTGAGCCATAGCTTCTCTCCATGCATCGGTGACCCCAATATGACATGATATTCTACGCACCTTGCTGCCTCTATGGAGCGGAAGTTTTAAAGGTCACTAGGTCAGAGATTTAAACTCGGTGCTGCTAAAAAAATTGAATTGTGTTTTGATATCTTAATGGTTCGTGTACTGCTGAGTATAATGACTAGTGCGTTGCCTCGTAGGAATGCATGGGGATGTTCTTCGTGGTGTTGGGATCATTGAGAGAAAGGTCAAAGGTATTGCTGTGGTGCGGTGTGCTGTGCTGTATACAGTAAACAGTGAAGTATACTGCATTTAAGTGTTAGTGACAAGATCCTGCTGCCAATCAGAGGTGATCCGAGAAAGCTGTCCGTAACCCGTCACTGCATCTCTTGACGTCATCTCTAACCTCTTTATATCAAACACTGTAATTTAATGTCCCTCTTAAGATGTAATGATAAGGAACCATTTCTAGGATTCCTTCTAGTGAATCTTAATCCTCGATGGGGTTTGGCTTATTTTCTATGACACAGGTTGAGGTGTAGTGGCTGGGGGGAGGGGGGGTGTACTTGGAGGTTATTCATTATACAGTGTCTGGCAAATCCTACTACAGCTCTTTTCTAATCCCTTGTTTGGTGGCACTGCTTTTGACATCACTGTTTCTTGTGGCCTGAATTAACATATCTGACGATCCCGCACCCACTTTGTGATCTCAGTGGCATTCTGTTTGTCTTGTGGTGAGCCAAGGGGGGGATTTTGACTTATATCCTCACCACACTCTACCACCTGCTTGACCGGGGTGAGAGAGAGAGAGAGAGAGAGAGAGAGAGAGAGAGAGAGAGAGAGAGAGAGAGTTGGTAGAATCCTGTAGTAAGTACTTGGGAACTGAGCGAAATTATTAAAAAAGACATTAATAATAATAATTTATTGCACCGCCGACTTCTGCATGAGTGAGGTCAAAATGTCACTCCCGTTTATGACTTGTGTAAACGTACGGCTTTAAGTACTGTTTGAGGTAATACCGTACTAACCCACTCCTCTGTTGTGTAGTGGAGTTAACCATCACTGTAGGAACTTTAAGGCTTCTTTATTATGGTTATTGATTACGACGAACGGTGAACAGTTTTAAAACTTATCAATGTTACTTTTTTTTGAGGGGTGGGGGTGTTATAAATAGTAAACCATTATTGTATAAGGTATAACTCTCCGCCCCGCCGCCTCCTCTTCCTGGCTGTTTGTTCTATCAGCGATGAAAAAGTGTTTCTTCTTCTCCGTGTTGAGTCTTCGGTGGCATTTTTATGTGAGCTTTTTTGACTGTAACGTTGTCTTGGCCGCGCTCAGGAGACCACCCATGTCTCTCTTCTTTTGATTTGGGTTATATACTGCCTTTAATGTTTTACGTACAGTATATAATTTGTATGCATGTATGTATGTATGGCGACATGTGATGCTGTGGTTAGCATGCTCGGCTCGCAAGCGAGTGGACCCGAGTTCGATTCCCGGGCAAGGTGAAAATATGGGCAAGTTTTTTTACGCCATTTGCCTCTGTCTACCCAGAAGTAATTGGGGACCTTGAAGTTATCGATTTGCAGATCGTGTTCCTGGGTAATGATTAGCCAGTGCAGTTTGCGAGTTGTCCGGTCTTCTCGGACTGTTTCTTGACACTGATATTGATATTGAAACAGTTTATTTAGCCATAACAACACAGATACAGAGTGGATAATAATAACAATATTAACATGGCTGAGCCAGTTGAGAACCTGAGCTCTCTTGTAGGCACCTGATATATACTGTACATTTATCTCAAGGAAGTATTATGTAACATTTAGTATCATCTGGAATAGTACAACAGCATGGTGGTAGTAAGAACATATCAGAATGTTACCACGGTTATCACTTCATTATTTATTTATTTTTACATTTATATTGGAGTATATACATATTTTACAGTGGAGTTGATACACAATAATGTGATAAGGGAGGGAAGCAGTACATGGGTTGTATTAAGGTGGAACAAGAGGACAGAAGCTGTCAGTATCATGTCTTATCGGCAAATATGATAATTGCAATGGTAATTTCTATCTATCTACATGACAATTTCTGATATAATGGTTTTGGTGGTACTTGTACAATAAAGGCAGGAATATATAGTAGGTATTAAAAAATTATTAATACTTAAACCATAGTAGGCACCTATAAAACAGGGAGGTACTACTGCCTGGGAAGATATTGGAACCATAATGTGTTATCTATTATATTATATTATATTATATTATATTATATTGTATTATATTATATTATATTATATTATATTATCGCCCCCCAGGCCTTGATGTGGGTAATTAAAATTGGCCTGTGCCCGGGTGAGCTTATGCCCGTAAAAAAAAAGGGAAGGGAGCTTACAATAGTCTTTGCTCGGACGGGTGTGGGTAAGTTGTTCCACACCTTCACCTCGTGATATTTTATGGAGGTCTGGGACTGAGAGGATCGCATGAGGGGTGGTCTTGGTAGCTCTGGGTGTCTTAAGTTGTATCTCTGATTATTCTGGAACCGGAAATGTTATTGTCAATTAAGTGATTGATAGATTTGAAAATAAATAGGGCACAGCAACTCGTTAACTTAGGGTGTGGTTGTTGTGTTGGCTACATCTTCTACACATTAAACAAATTCACGCCTTGGTGGCCCTTGGGCCGGCCATCCTCGATCTCGAGGGGCAACCATTATTATTATTATGTGGGTATGTATGTAGTGTTAATTGCTCGTGATTTTGTTTTTAATTGGACACAAGGAGTGTAATAAACGAAGGCAGCTATTGTGAGACGACAGACACAGGCAGTGAAGCTGTAGTAGATAACAGAGGCGACAGGGCAGGACTAAGCAGTGGTCCCAGACACCAGCACAAAGAAGGATCACTCACGGGAGAATTAAACATGGAACGTGAGTGAGTGAGTAAAGATCCTGAGTAGTGACTGTGAGAGATGCCCTGTGATAGAGAGGCCACTGGATACTGGCCATTAGGGAGTGTTAGTGTTACAGTGACTAGCCACTACCTGTAAACCTTGATATAGTGAGGATCAACACCATACATTGATCAGCCGAGTCATTACCATAATCTCTCAACATATTTCCATTAAAAAATATTTAAACTAGAGCTAATTAGAAGTTGATAAGGAAAAAGTCAAAGTTGGTTCTTGGAGGTAAATAGCTTTTTATTTTTGTTTATTTGTTTAATTTTTTTTTCTTTTGGGGTTTAGAAAAATACTCAACAGGTGTTCGTCAACTTGCACCTTGCCATACCCATACCTGGTTACAGTCCTAATATAGCTCTGTAAGGTTTGTATTTTATATATGTACGTGTTGGGAGGAAGACAGTGGCAATCAACTGTAGGTAGTCATTCTCTTAGACATATAGACAGTCAGGTCATTTTATATTATCACCACGAGTTATTGAAATGTTCCGCTCAAGGTGAGTCCACACGAGCGTACATTTTGTCGCCAACATGTGATCAACAAGAGGAAACACCGATCTA